TTATTCAAATCGGCGGCGCGGCCGGCGGAAAGCCTGGCCACAGAGTCGGCTGGACCCGGCCGTAGTGTCACCTTCCACCGCCATGCACCGCGCCCCGCGCTGACGGACCTCCGGCCCGGAGGGGGAAGCATGGAGAATCGGAGTGTGCCTCCGGGGCCTTATCGGGCCACCAAGCTGGTAAGCAGAGCCCGCCGGCGTGATGGCCGTCACCATCTTTACGGGAGAGGGTTGGTAGTTTTACCTGGGCGGAGGGAGGGCGCCCAGAGCCGCTGGGTGCGCTGGAGGGAGATGGAAACAGCATTAAGGGTGATCGCGGAACCGCCGCGGGGCAAGTCTGTCCCCCTCGGTTGCTGCGAGCACCCCGCAAAGGCGCATCCTACTCCCGCCTTGTTAGGGCTCCTGCCTGGGCAGCCGCCCCCCACGCCTGGTTTCCTGCATCCACGGGCTCCGAGAAGAATTCCTATGAGTTCCGCTGCTTTGCGGGGTCAGACCGGGGGCCGGCCCGAACCTGGCAGGTTCGTTCGTGTGGCGGGCTCTGTAGAATTTAATGCAGACGGACCAGCCGAATGCCAGTAGGTAGCAGCTGACCCTGTCAAAACTAATACGCCCGGCATATTTGAGGTTCCATCCGGAACACTGCTGGGGCATCGCCGGGTGTGTGCCCGCGCCCTGGTTCTGTGACCTTAGGGGAGTCGCCTGACTTCTGGAGCCTCGGTTTCCAGGTAAAATGTGGTACTGATAATGCATGTCCACCCTATGATGACTCTGGAGAGGACATGCATGTGGAAGTGTGTTACGATATGTAGAATAAGAAACAACGTATCCAGAGGATCGGTTGCAGCTCATGATGTTTGCTGAATAAGTTAGTGAAATGTGGAGGTGTGGGAAGGAAGGAATGCGGACCTTGTGTTTTCAGCGGTGGTGAGATTTTGCCTGGTGATGTTGGGGCCGCATAGGTTAGATCCGTGATCACACAGCCAGCAGTGGCTAGGCCAGGCTTACAAATAAGATTTCTTGACCTCTGTAAGATTGTTCAGATAAAAAGTGGATGTTTAGTCTACCCCACCACCACGTTCATGCTCCACAAACCTAAAACTTTGGGTGATTTGAGGGCCATTTGGAAAATGTGCCTTTTAAAACTGTAGATATATCACAGTGTCATTAAATACACAATGGACTTAAAATTTACTTAATTCACCCCATCTGTTCCATGTACAATATTGGAATCTTCACACAAGAGATACTATAATAAATATATAAGCTATTTTAATATTAAAGGTGTTTCACCAGTGAAACTACTGCCTGCCATGAGTTTCGTTTGTGGCCAGCCTAGTAGTTACAAGCTCAGGTGCTTGAGTCCATCAAACCTGGGTTAGAATACCTGGGTTCATCACTGAGTTGTGTGACATTCCTCAAATTATCAAATCTCTCTGTGCTTCTCATCTAAAACTGGAATAATAATGTTCATAGAATTGCAAGAATTGAAGTGAAATGATTAATGTAAAGCATAGCGTCCGGCACAAATGCTACCACCGTATTAGTAGTATTAATTGAGGTGGTTTTTTTTTTAAACCACAGGAATAAATACTTCCTCTTTTTAGAGGACTAAAGGATAGGTTCATTGCAGCTCTTTATTATTCCTAGGTTTCCTAAATAAGCCAACCAGCCAATGAAGTGCTTTTATTCAAAAAACTTACATGAAAATATTATCACAACAGTAGAATTAATTAAAATAAATCTGTATGAGATATCACATTTTCTGTAGTACCAATAAGGTGAATGATTTCTTTATGAAATTTTATGATGTAATCGGATGTAAATGAAAGAATTTCCTTTGTCTAATTTATTTTAAATCAGTAAGAGATTTCATTTTTGTTAATTTTTTAAAAATATTTTACTTCTTTTGCAGTGGAATGAAGTTACGACATCTTTTCGAGCAGGAATGCCTCTAAGAAAACACAGGCAACACTTTAAAAAATATGGCAATTGTTTCACAGCAGGAGAAGCAGTGGATTGGCTTTATGACCTATTAAGAAATAATAATAATTTTGGTCCCGAAGTAACAAGGCAACAGACTATCCAATTATTGAGAAAATTTCTTAAGAATCATGTAATTGAAGATATCAAAGGGAGATGGGGATCAGAAAATCTTTATGACAACGGTCAGCTATTCAGGTACTGAATAAAGAAATAACTGGAAAACTGAATTACTTAAAGTTTAACTCCACTTCTAGTACACTTTTACTAAAACAGCAGCTTTTCTGTAGAGAAACTGCGCTTAGTCTGATTAAGACCATTTAGAGAAGTTAAAGTTAATAGCTGCACAATTCAAACTTTTGAAATGTTAGATAGTATATATAATAAAATAGGGAATTGGGAGGAAAGTGAGATATTAGCACTTCTGAAAGCTCTATAACATTTTAAGGACAGAGCATTATTAACCTTTAATTTCATAGATTTAAGAATTACAAGACAAATTGTCACAGATCCTTGTCTTCAAGTACCATGATCTTATATAATTTAAGAATTCATGTGATAAGATAAATATTAGCAAACTTTATTAATAAATAACAGAAGAAATATACCACTGATTAAAGAGAATAATTACGTGTTTATTGTGTATCAGAGACCCTGCTTTATGACTTACATGTTTTCTTATTTGTCACTGTAATAGTTAAGAAGGGTAGGTATTAGCTCCTTTTTATAGATGCGGAAGCTGAGACTGTGCTCTAACAAATCATGTTACCTCTGTCTGAATATGTTCTTCCACCTTGAAACACTGTACCCACTTATCAAACTACTAAATACATTTCTCATGTCAGCTCTATTGTAGCCTTTTCCATGGAGCCTTGCTGAGTCTCTCAGGCACATAATTGCTTTTTCTCTCATGCACCCAGTATTCTTTGTTATATTTCCCTTAAAGTAGGTCTTTGGATTCTAATATCCATGTTTTTTTTCCTCTGCAGAATTGGTACTTTTCAAATGAAATATCTTAGAAATGGATTCTTGTCTATGTTATCAAAGATGACTTATGCCGTACAAATAAACTGCAGTAAGGGCTATATGAACAGTTCATTTTGTATAACACCCTAGAAATCTTTCCTCTCTTAAGGACTCCTTAGTCACCTTGGTGGGCTCCTTGGCTGCTGCTCATCCTTTAGTTGTTACTGGTTTGCAAGGTCCTAGACTTTTCTCCACCTCTCTCCCTAAGTAATCTTATGCTATGCCTTCACCTGCTTTTCTTAAGACTTGCAAAACTCCAGCCAAAATATCTCTCCTGAATTTTAGCCACTTTTTTTTTTTTGCCTATTAGGCACTTCAAATATAGCAAATAGAAAATCACTATCATCGAAAGAATGGCACTGTCTTCCCTTTAGATACCTTGACTCCCTCCTTCTCCCCTTTAAATATGATTTAATTATAAAGCGATTTCTGTTGTGCTGCCTCAATAGTTCTCTGTTCTGTCCACTTTTCTCTCCACTAAGAATGTTCTTTTGGTTAGACCATTATTCTCTCTTAACTGGAATTCTACATAACTCTTCAACTAGACCAGGGGTCCTCAAACTTTTAAACAGGGGGCCAGTTCACTGTCCCTCAGACCGCTGGAGGGCCGGACTATAGTTTAAAAAAAAACTATGAACAAATTCCTATGCACACTGCACATATCTTATTTTGAAGTAAAAAAACAAAACGGGAACAAATACAATATTTGTATTTGCATGTGGCCCGCGGGCCGTAACTTGAGGACCCCTGAACTAGACCCTCTGCCTTAGTATTTTACAATAGCAACTATAAAGTACATAATAAAGTTTTCTAAAAATGTATAAGACCTTCCTGGGGAAATTATAAAATTGAAGATAATAAATGGAGAAGGATATCCTCTTCATGAATGAGAAGACTTAGTATACAGTCGCTTTTTCATAAATTGATAAATTCAGTGCATTTTTATTCAAGACCTCTAGCTATATAATTGTTTATGTTGAATTTGATAAGCAGATTCTAAAATTTACTTAATAATGTAAAGGTCCAAGGCAATTTTGAAGAACAAGGAGGGAAGAATTGCCTTAACCTGGTATCTGGGCCTAAATTAAAACAATTAACTGAGAATACAAACCCATACATATATGAGAAATTGGCATAACATATATGAATTAAATAACTATATATGAAAATACAACTCTTATGAGATAATATAAGAAAATATTTTAGGATGAAGGAATAAGAAAGAACTTTTAAGGTGACTTAAAAACTTATGCATAAATTAAATGTATGATAAAAGATACCACTGAGTGAAAAAAATACCAAACCATATACTGTTTTTGTATGTTTATTAAAAGTATAAAAACATGAACAAGAAAGAAATATGCTAACTATAGGTTAATGATTTCCCTTAGGAAGAGAAAACTAGAATAAGCAAATAATTTCTTTCATTAAAAAAAAAAAAAAGATGCCCTGGCTGGTGTTTTTCAATGTTTAGAGCGTGGGCCCATGCACCAAAAGGTTGTGCATTTGATTCCCATCAATGGCAAGTACCTGGACTTCAGGTTCGCTCCCTGCCCCTGTTAGGGACGCAACCAGTCACGTCTCAGGTCATGTTTCTCTCTCCTTTTCCCTCTCCCTCCATCCCTTCTACCTTCTACTCTCTCTGAAAAGCAATGGAAAAAATATCCTCAAGTGAGGATTAAAAAAAACACACATAATGAAATATTTGGTTAAATGTTAATTGCATTGGTTGATGGTTACATACATAGATGTTTTATATTATTTTCTGTATATATGCTTTTGTATATTTGAAATATTTATATTAAAATAAAAGGAAAAAGCTATATAATAATAAAGTGGCCTGGTTGGTGTGGTTGAGTGTCAACCCATGAGCCAAAAGGTCCCCAGTTCAATTCCCAGTGGGGTCACATGCCTAGGTTTTGGGCACAATCCCTAGTAGGGAGTGTGCATGAGGCAGCCAATCAATGTTTCTTTCTCATTGATGTTTCTATCTCTCCCTCGCTCTCTAAAATTAATAAAAACATTAAAAAAAAAAGTAACAGAGACCAACTTCTGGAAATTAGAGCAGAAAATATATACAAATTAGATAACTTGGGGAAAATATTAGAAAATGTAACATTCTAAACTATTTTATATGTAAATGATACCTCCCCAACATAATTGATTTAATAATAACCTTGAATTACACAGAAATAAATTTAAAATAGCCAGTGTACTAAAGAAAGCAGGAAACTATTAAAGTAACTTTAAAGGTTTAATGGGAAAATCTATGTAGACTTTTCATTCCTTGATAATGTAAATCAGTTTTTTATGCAATTTTTAAGATAAACAAGCAGTAAGTTTGTTTCTGATCTACATTATTTAATTGCATATTATTCTTTAATCAGATTTCCTGCAAATTCTCCACTTAAAACTCTTCCACGGAGGCATCCAGAATTGAGAAAAAACAGCATAGAGAACTTTTCCAAAGATAAAGACAGTATTTTTAAATTACGAAACTTATCTCGTAGAACTCCTAAAAAGCATGGATTACAATTCTCTCAGGTAAAACATCTTTTTTACTAATCACTAGTTTAAATATAACTACTATGTGCTTAATAATAGAATCATTAAAAGTAAATGATTTTTTTAAATATTTGTAGCCAGTATATGACACTCTTCACTTTCATTATACTTTAAAAATGTATGGAACTCATAGAAACAGTAATAAAAAGTGGTAGTGAGACATACTTGAAATAGTAATTATATGATTTAAGTGTGTTTTATTTTAAATTTATTTGAGTGTGATTTGCCGAACTGCAAAACCAAAAGCTTTATGTTACATTATTTCATCAGGTTACACTTACCTCAGAGATCCACATGGAGTGGGGTCAGTTCAAAATATCCTTAATTTGAGCATAACATATTAACCCAAAGTAATTCTCTTTTCAGGAAAATACTGAGAACATGAACTGTGAAATAATCAATGAAGATCAAGAAAACTCAGTTGATAATAGAGAAATAAGTCAGAAAGATATTGAAGAAGTTTGGAGATACATTATTCTGAACTAGTAAGCTAAAACAAACCAAGTTCCACAGATATTTAGAATTTTAATTTTTCTTTTTTCATCCTCATATGCTAAAGCAAAAGAGCAGTTTAATTCTCAAAGCTTAGAACTTAACCTGTATATGTGTTTCTTAGTGTTTTTGCTATAATTCTAGGATAGTAGAAATAGAAAGTTTTCAGTATGATTTGGTGTAGTGTTGTTTTTTAAATTGTAGCTGTATATTGGAATCTATATTGGAATCCTTAAAAATTATAAAAATAAATATCTTTAAAATTAGATACTAAATATAAGCCTTCGAAGTTTGGTTTCAGGAAAAACAAAAACAGTATACGCTGAGGGCTTTATTTGTTTGCCAAACCCTTTCATATTTATATTCTATTGTACTTATTTTATGGAGGAAAAATGTTTGTGTTCTTTCTTCTCTTTAGCCTTCAAACCATTTTAGGGGTGTCATCCCTAGAAGAAGTCATAAACCCAAAACAAGTGATTCCTCAATATATAATGTACAACATGACCAATACAAGTAAACATGGAGTAGTTGTACTACAAGACAAATCAGGTTTGTATCAATAAAAGAAGTTGGACTCTTTTTAAACTTGCAAACAAAGGTGATAGCTATTGTGGGGGTGCACAGAGACCACAGTGTAGAAGGCAGAATAGTTTAATTGAAAGAGCATCAGGGACACTATTGCTTTATCATGGGTGCTTTAGCAATCACAGTGGAATATTTTTTAAGTCAATATCATATTATATTATTTTAGCTCTTAGGATAGATTCATGATTTTTTTTTTTAATGGCATGGTTAAACATCCAAAAAAAGGTATCTATCTATATAAAAGCCTAAGCGACCAAACAACCCGTTAATCTGTCACTATGACGAGCACTGACCATCAGGGGACAGACGCTCAACGCACAGGCTTGGGCTCCCTCCTGTCTGGATCAGGCCTGTGGGGATCAGGCTCCCTCCCTTCTGGATCAGACCTGCGGGGATGGGGCCGAAACTGGCTCTCTGACATCCCCAAGGGGTCCTGGATTGTGAGAGGATATAGGCCAGGCGAGGGACCCCACCGGTGCACGAATCAGTGCACCTGGCCTCTAATACAAATATAATTAAAACCATTGATTAGTCACATTTTATTGAAGACCTATAATGTGCCAGGCATTGTCCCCAAGATTTAGTGATGAACAAGAGGGAATGGCCATGCCTTCCTGGAGCTTACATGAGCATATAAATTTAAAGGGGTCAAGACATATGCAAAACTGAAGTAACACAATAAAATAAGCCCAACCTCTCAACACCAGTACTCTAAAGAGCACTGGCTTTGTATTATGTATATGTTTTTTATATTATTATATACATTTATATAATGTATTGATTTCAGATATAAGATAGGAAAATCGGAAATAATTCAAGGCAGATACATTAGAAAATATTACAAAAAGTATATCAGTAAATGCACTCAAAATGTTGTCTTTTTTATTTTTCATCCTCATGGGAAGATATGTTTATTGATTTTTGAGAGAGAGGAAAGGAGAAGGAGAGAGAAACATCTGTCAGTTGCCTCCCATATGCACCCCGATGGGGGATCAAACCCCAAACTTAGATATGTGCCCTTATCGGGAATCGAACCTGTGACCTTCTGGTGCACAGGATGGCATTCCAATCAACTGAGCCATCCAGCCAGGGCTTGAGTAATTTTTTAATAATCAATTGCTATTTATAGAATTAATTGAAATGTATTACTTTGAGTTTCTTTTTGTATGCAAGAACTTTGAGGTTTTAATTGTAGGAACAAATAGTAAATGTCAAAACTTAAGAGTTATGTTACATATGCATTTGGCTTTGGACCATTCCAGTGGTCCAAAATAACTGTAAAATAACTGTATATGCTCTCATCCAAGCTTTCTATTCTTTATAACTATAAACTTTTGAAGTCAAGTGTTTGTATGGTTTTTATGTTTGTATCAAAAAACTGCTGGATTTTATGCAGCATATTTCAATTAGTGATAATGCAAAGATTTGAAGCAGGCCTCACTGTGAAAGCACACTAATATTCAAATATACCTTGTTTCAATTATAGGTCTCTCTCCAGTCAGTAATATTAATGTAATATAGCTATAGTCAGAACAGAGATGAGGATAAAGTAAAGATGGTGATAATGGGTAGAGATTAATGTTAATTTATTCCTAACCACCTCCCATAAAATAATTAATCCTTGATTTGGGGGTAAGTATTAAGTTTTAAATATACTATCAAAAACGTTGTGAATTACTAAACAATGTTCATAATTTTTTTATGTGTAGATGATCTTCCTCATTGGGTATTATCTGCCATGAAGTGTCTAGCAAATTGTAAGTTAAACAATATGTATATATGTTTTATATTGATAGTGTTTAATAAGAACAGAGAAATATTTTTAAATAATGTATTAAATTTCTGATAAAATTAAAGTATATAATTTATTTTGATGTTTAAATGAAAATCTAGTAGAACTGGTTACATTTCTGTCCATGTGGAGTATGTTATAGAGCCCTTAATTTTTTTTTTGCAGATGATGACTTTATAATTCAAGCCCATAATTTATAGTTCAATTTTCATAAATCATAAAATCATAGGCTAGAAGATCTCAAATGATTTTTTGGTATAATCTACATCAGTTGTCTCAGTAAGAACCAGAGTTCAAATAGCAACTTGTAAGTAAAGCAGCTATAAATGGAAAGTTTCAATCAGAAATGAAGTCTCATTAAATCCACTTCAAACCCCTTGCCATTGTACACAGCTATAACATTCAGATGTTCCATGAACAAGCGTCTACTCTATAGGATATACCAGGGATAGTCAACAGGTGTGTTGCAAGAATTTTTAAAACATGCAATACGTGACTATTTAGTCAGAGGCACTGACCTCTTTTCCCTTAAACTGTCAAATAAAAAAATGATAATAGTCAACACAGGAATAGCTATTTGGTGTGAATGCCCTCTCTTGAACTGTAAATATATAGATCATGTAGTAGTGTTGTATCTTATTGGGCACATCTGATAATAAGGTTGTGTCTGATTGGTTAATTCTTGGTATCAGAAATTCTTATATACAAGTATAGGCACTTAAATTTTTTAAAAGTTACTTTGGAGCAAAAAGGATGGGTAATTATTATTTTGTAAGTCAATCAAAAGTATACCTATATTTTTTGTGAGATCGGCAAAAAATATATTTTATGGTGTGCCGCAGAATTTTAATGATTAGTTTATGTGTAGATGAAAAGGGTTGAAAATTGCCGGGATATACTAATGAGACTTTTGTGAAAAAAAAATCTGTTACTAATCAGCAAATTATTTTTTAACATTGTCATCAAGCTTTTTTCACAGTGATCAGTGATAACTGATTTTTATAATTTAAGATTCCAATCAGGTACAAAAACCTAATTGCTTTCAAGAGCAATTTGAAAAATTTACAGAGGTGTGTGAGTCTAAATCACCAAAAGTTAAGTTATATTGTAATATTTTGTTACAAAGGTATTTTTCTAGTCTTTATAAAATTACTATTTTACTAATGTTCAATATAAGTATATATTCCCTTGTTGTCCACTGGGTGTCAATATGACAAAATAACAGAACAATGAAGTAAATAATGTATATTATAGAAAGATTTTATTTATTAAATCGAGGTAAAGATCTTGGTCATAATCTTAAAATTTTTGAGTTTTTCTTTCTACCTTCCCCCTACCTCACTGCCCTCCACTCTCATACCTTGGCTCATGGTTTGCAGGTCAGATAAGCATACTTGCAGGTATTTCTCTGATGCCCCATCTTGAGAGATTTGTGTCTTCCCTTTCTTCCCAGTCCATGTTATACCTAAATAATACCAAAAATGTAATTTACTGAATTCCACTTTAATGAGAGTATATGTAGCCAAGTATTAAGACTTTTACTTGTTATTTAATCCCCCACAGTTATCCTGTCACATATAAGAATTAGTGGTCAGTATACTATTACATTTTTTTTTCTAGAAAGAAAACCTAGGCTTAGAAAAGTATTCTAATGCATAGATTCTATAACTATAAATTATATAGTTTTAATTCCAGTAAAATGTTTCATCTTAGAAAATTTCTATTGATTATTAATTTTTTATTCTACATATTAAGAATATTTCTTACATCCTCCTTAGAAAAAAGTTTATTTTGCTCTACATAAAACCCATATTAGCCTCTGCTATTAAATGTGTGTGTAATATATGATTTGTTTTCTTTAATCCTTTTTTTAGTGTGTGTACGCACACATGTGGAGCCATACAAAAGTTTAGAAACAGAAATAAGAAATCATTTGGATTTAGGAATAGAAGGATTTTAACTTGAAATATAGCACGCTGACTCTCAATTATTAGGGAAGATTTAATCTCTCAGGAATCTTTTTTTTTTTTTTTTTTTAACTATGCCTCCAGATCCTTAGGGCAAGCCCAGATCAGTGTTTAGAAACTACTAGATTAGTAAAGCAGAAACAAACATTTCTAAGTCAGAAATTCCAAGCTCCCCCTCCATAGATTCTCATCTGTATAGAGGAGTTTTTATTTTTAATAGGCACATTGGATGATTTCCATTATATAGTCCATGGACCACACTTGAAATGTTGGACCTCAAGGTCCTGGGTGCTGCTCTCACTTTACATTGCTCTAAGCTAAGGCAAGCATGTCAAACTCAAAGGCTAACATGGGCCAAATAAACAAGGCTTAAGTTTATGTGGGCCGCAAAAAAACCAAAAGTTTCAATTTTCATAGAAACGTAGGTTTATTTCGATAGAGACATGCTGAATACAAAAGGCTGAAATAAATGAATAATCGTTAACATAAAATAATAGAACATTTTAATGAAAATTAATATTTTTTCTTGAGCATTAACTTACCAGACATTGAATGACTGCACAGATTAATAAGTGTAACGCAAATAAAATCAGGCAAAATTTATTCATGAAGATGTAAATTTGCAAAGACAATTTGTAGGAATTATTTGTATTATCCAAATATTCTTTGCTTTTTAAAATGAATTGTGGTAAAATTCCATTAAAATAAACGTCCCTAATGCTTTTAATATATATTTCAAATTTTGCTTTATATGCAGTTTTTCGGGCTTATAGATATTTAAAAAATGGTAGTAATTGCAGTGACTTCTGCTGAAAAGATGATGAGAAGGAATGAGGTGTGCACAACCCTTTAAATGTTTGAACTGTGACAGAATTTGTTGTTAAACATAGTTCCTTCATGAAACACAGATTTCATATTTTATATTTAAAAATCTGTTTATAAATAGCACGTATATTTTTTTGCCTTTTACTTCTTAGGGCCAAGAAGTAATGACATGAATAATCCAACCTACGTTGGATTTGAACGAGATGTATTTAGAACAATTGCAGATTATTTTCTAGATCTCCCTGAACCTCTACTTACCTTTGAATATTATGAATTATTTGTGAACATTTTGGGTATGTATGGATTTTACTTGTTTAAATTTATTTCATTAAAGTTTTCAAGTCTCCCATAATTTAAAATATCAAAAAAATATAGTATAGGTAAATATGAAGGCAGCAAGCTATAACATATTTTTAAATTCAGTAATATTCTGATTGCTGTTGTGTTGTTTTCCAATAATTTATATATATCAATCCAACACCAATTCTCCACATCAATCAGGTGTCCTACAATTCAATTTATTTTTGATACTAGCCAAGACCCTACAAGTTAAAGAAAAAGTCTGATGCAGACTACCCATTGTTAGTGCAGACTCCACAGATTAAGGGCTGAGTTCCACAAGGCTGCTCTAACTTCAGGCACTATCTGCAAATGAGGTCCTCAGGTTTACTCACTCTCCACCCCTCCCCACCTCTGGCTAACTACCAATTCAGGAGTTAGCATGAAACCCCCAGGTTGAATAATTCACTACAGGGACTCAGAGCTCTGGGAAGTGCTTTACTTAATGATTACCGTGTGTTATAAAGGATGCAAGTCTGAAAGAGCCAAATGGAAGGAGAGACATAGGGTAAGTTATGGGCTGTGCAAAGCTTCCATGCCCTCTCCAGGAGTGCCACCCTCCTAAGCACATCCATGTGCTCACCAACCCGTAAGCTTCCTTAAACTTATTGTTTCAGAGTTTTAACTGAGGTTTCATTACATAGGCATGATTGATTAATTCATTCATTGGTTGTTGGTGATTACATTACTTCTCCAACCCCTTCAGGGAGGTCTGAGTTAGGGCTGAGGATTCCAACCTTCTAAACAAGGCCAGCCCTAAGTCCCCTCATTAGCATAAACTCAGATTGCTCTAATAGGCTTATTATGAATAACAGAAGATTCCTTTCACTCCAGAAATTCCAAGGATTTTAGGAGCTCTCTGCCAAGAACCAGAAACAAAGACCAAATACATATTTTTATTATATACTATATGTTAGTTATAATTAAGAGCTTTTTAATACTTTTAGACTGTGAGCAGATATTTTAATGTATTTGACTCAATCCGTTTAATTCAGTTGTTGAAATAAATTTTAGTTATTGGTATCACAAATTGAAAACCTCTAGTCAGTCTTGCACTTTGTAACTGAATGTTGCATGTGTCCTGTTTAAGTGGCTTCTGAATTCAGCAACTGCTATTTGTATTATACTAACAATATGTACTATAGTGATGCTTTATTTTTTTAACTTTACTGTTGTTTTTGTTTTATTTTTGTCCACTGTCATACAGCTGCATCTTAATTTTTGTTTCATTTCCTGGTAGTTGTTTGTGGCTACATCACAGTTTCAGATAGACCCAGTGGGATACATAAAATCCAAGATGATCTACAGTCTTCAAAAATCCTTCACTTAAACAGTTTGAATTCCTTCAAATCAACTGAGTGTCTTCTTCTCAGTCTGCTTCGCAAAGACAAAAACAAAGAAGAATCAAATACTACTGAGAGACTGCAGATAAGCGATCACGGATTTCAAGAAAAATGTGTTAAGAAAGTGCAGCTAGTTGATTTAAAAAACAGAAGAGCCAGTGCTAATGACATAATAGGAGGAAGCTGTCATAGTTTAATAGGCTTAAGTAGTATGCATGCTTTATCCTCTAACATCAAACCAAGGTGCTATTCTTTAGAAGGAATTATAGATTTGCCAGGGAGTTCATGTAAAGAGGTCTCCAGTGTCATCCATCAATCTATTCTGAATATAGAAGGACAAAATAATAAACAATTTTTAGAGTCTGAGATCAAACAGGAATCCATAATGAATCTTCATTCAGAGGAAAGTATTCAAAAGCCACTCTGTGTTGGTTTTAAGAGAACCTCTACTATGACTGTTCAAGACCAAGAGGAGTTATATAATGGGAAAAGCAAGTCAAGACAGCTTTGTAGATCTCAGAGTTTACTTTTAAGAAGTAGTACGAAGAGGAATAGTTATATCAATATGCCAGTGGCTGAAATTATCATGAAACCAAATCTTGGACAAGGCAGCACAAGTGTGCAAACAGCTATGGAAGGTGAACACGGAGAGTTTAGTGCCACAATCAATAAAAGACTCTGCAAAAGTACAATAGAACTTTCAGGAAATTCTTTACCTTCAGCCTCTTCTATATTGACTGGCACACAAAGTAAGGTTGATGCTTTCATTGCACGTAATATTAACTATTAGTGTTTACTAACTATTTTTGCTTGCCTGGCTTTTCTTCTCTGAAATTGCTTTTTTCTCCCTCCAAAAGGAAAGTTTCTTACTGTAAAAGACTTGTCATGATATAACCAAGATTTATTCTACTTACCTAAAGCACTTACTTCCTTTTTTTCAATTTCACTTATTCTGATTCATTTTAGTTGTAATAACTATAGGATGTTAATACTCAAATAAGTTATGAAGAAATTAATGAGAATCTTAATCATGCTTTTGAGGAATGTGGAAATTTCTAGTTAAAAGAAATGAAATATAGAAATATTATTTTACTTTCTTTAAGTCTAGTTAAAAGAAATGAAATATAGAAATATTATTTTAATTTCTTTAACTCCATATGCTAATAGTATGAAAGCAACTAATGTTATTGATTATTTTTTTCGGGGTTGGGGACTTTGCTTTCTAGGTTTGCTGCAACCTCATTTAGAGAGGGTTGCCATCAATGCACTACAGTTATGTTGCTTGTTACTTCCCCCACCAAATCGTAGAAAGCTTCAACTTCTGATGCGCATGATTTCTCGGATGAGTCAAAATGTTGATATGCCCCAACTTCATGATGCAATGGGTACAAGATCACTGGTAAGTTGATTTCTTAAGGAAAGAATAAGCCCTGGTTCATAAACAAAACAAAACAAAAAAAGGAAACCAAACCATCTAAAAGTACTACTTGAGTGTTGTCATGGTCTTGACATCCTAGTTTCTTAGGTTAGAAATGCTCTTAAAAGTCTAACATTTCCTAGAAATAAAATGTTGACATATTAATCCTTTGTGCCCAGTCTGTTATACTTTAACATCTTGATCTTTAGTCTGAGAATTTTGCCTCTTCACTCATCCTATATCACTTCATAGTCGGACCATATTATATTGCCTTGTGTCAATTCTGTTTGGTGGGAAGGAAAAGGAGATGTAGGTATTGTTGGAAGCTTAAGGGTACTAACTCTGAAGCAGAAAGTTAATGGAAATGCATGTATAGTAAATCTAAATGTTTCAGAGATTGTGGTAAGCTGTATTTGATGAATTATGTGAATTAGAATGGCACATCATTGTGGTCAAGGAGTTGAAAGAGACTACTATGTAGCCATCTCAGGTTCTATATGAGGATGAGAGCAGAGGTATTTATGTGCAGATATTGATTGCAGTATGAACGCTTGAATGTAGTCTCGTCTCGTCTTGTCCCTTCCCTTCCCTCCCCTTCCCTTTCCTTCCCTTCCCTTCCCTTGTCCTCCCCTCCCCTCTCTTCCCCTCCCCTCCCCTCTCTTCCCTCTTCCCCTCCCCTCTCCTCTCCTCTCCAGAGCTAACTCTCCTCACAATGGAGTTTCAATTTACAAGAGGTTTTTTTACCAAGGAATTTGGAGCTAATCTCTATTTTTCCACTCATTAGGGACAGTTCTTTTACAATGATAGACCTAATATAAGGAGGAAGAATTATTCTTGAGTAATTGTAGCACCACCTTTTGAAAGAAGGTATTTTGTGAAAATAATTTGAGAGACATGAGTAGGAAGGAGATAATTTTGTTTTTACACTTTTTGAGTGCAAGGTTATGGGACATCTGAGTGAAATTTATCTAACAGAATGTTGGAAATGTGAGTCTGGTGAAGAAAGTTCAGGGCAGAAGGCAGAGTTTTGGAAGAGGTAGTAGTTGAAGCTATGAGAGTAAATGAGCTCTACAAAGCTGAGAAAGAAGGAAAAAACACTGAGTACTAAGCTTTGGAGGGAGATAGGAAACCTGCCTGATATGCAGGAATAAAACCAAAAGTATTTCAATTCAGTATGCTCATCATATATTATGTGAAAAATACTTAAAACAGAATTCTGATATTGTAATTATTTTAGAATGAGGTATGAGTGTGTGTGACTTATATAAGCTAGTGGATTATATGGCTATGAATAAGTAAATGAGCTCTGAAATATAAAATGTATTCCAGAATTTGAAGACTCTTTGTAACCATTAACATTTATATGTTATATTAGAGGCCTGATGCATGAAATTTGTGCAAGAGTAGGCTTCCCTCTGGCACCCAGGATCCGGGCTCCCCTCCAGTTCCCCCAGCTGTTGGCACCGGCTTCCCTCTGGCACCCAGAATCCGGGCTCCCCTCCAGGTCCCGGGCTTCCCTCACAGCCCAGGCTTCATCTGGAAGGTCATCTGGTCTAATTAGCATATTACACTTTTATTATTATAGTCTCCTGGTTTGTGTTTTTGTGAGATTAATGTAATAAGTCGTTGCTCTCTAATAGTCTTTAAGCAACATATCTATATGGTATTAATGGGACCTATGGTCTTTGCTGACAAAATTGTAACAAAGTTAAAAGTTAAGCCTTTCATAATGGAGTAATATTAAGGAAATACATAACAAATACTTTAAAAAGAAGAATAGACATTCTTACCTTTCTAATAAAATTATTTTTCTCATTTTTAATCTGAAGCCTGCTTATCATGTGCTACCCAGAAATTACTGTTATTATAGCATAGAAAAACTTAGGTTTTTAAATTCACATCTCTTAATATGTTTTTAGATGATACACACGTTTTCTCGATGTGTGCTATGCTGTGCCGAAGAAGTGGATCTTGATGAGCTGCTTGCTGCAAGATTAGTTTCTTTCTTAATGGATCATCATCAGGAAATTCTTCAAGTACCCTCTTACTTACAGGCTGCAGTGGAGAAACATCTTGACTACTTAAGAAGGGGCCTTGTATGTATTATATAAGTCAAAATTATCTGCATTAGGTGCTCTCCTTCCCAGGTGCATACCCTGCGCCTCTCCCTTCCTCCAACCCCTCCCATCCCCCCTAGGTGCCTCACCTTTACCTTCCACACTTCTAAGCTCCAAGGGCCCTTCCTTTGCCTCTATAACTTGGTTCCTAAGCCCACTTCTTATACGAATTACTTCTACTTCTGGTTTTTCAAAGAAATATTCTCTTATAGTTTGAAACAAACAAAAATATTCTCTGCATTAAGTCAGTTGCAAGTGGCAAACTCATCTCAAACTAGCCTAGTCAGAATGGAACACTTTATCAGCTCACATTAATAACCTCTAAAAGTCAGGACTGTAGACAGAATCTGGGGAATCAAATAGCAATAGGACTCTCTTTTCATCCTTTTGTTTCTTATTTCCATTTTGGTCCTGTATTTGACAAATGGCCCTTCAACATGATGGGAATATGGCTGATTAAAGCTCTTGAGTTACAAACTTATGTTTGCAATCCAAAGGAAAAAAGAGCAATCCTCCATCTCTAATTTGAAAAGTTCTTAGTATGGACTCTGGCCCAATCTAGGATATCTAAATGCATAACCTTTGGGTGATTGAGAGTGAGTAGCTTGGAGAGAGGACCTTGTTCTTCAAAAAGATCAGGATTGTGAGTGTACAATGGGGAGGAACTGTTTACAAGGAGGAGAGAAGACGTACTGAGCAGCCAAAAACAACAGATGTCTACACATTCAGTCTTTGGCTACCCAGCACATATATTCATGTTTCTTCCCATACATACCATTCTAACATTGCCCTGCTTACAATTACAACTATCCCCTATACTTTCTTTTTTTTTTTTTTTTTTTTTTCCAACAGGATGTTATGGGCTCAACCCATGTCATTGCACCTCAAAAACAGTAGAAGAGTACTTTTAACTGTTACTGTGTCAAATATTCATGTTTTAAGATGCATTAAAATACCACTTCAGTTAATGTTTTGTAGTTAAAATAATAAAATCCATGATTAATAGTTATAATGATGATAGCTACTTTTATTTAATACTTCTTGTGTGCTAAACACTTTTTATATATTATTTCATGTAATCAGGGGACACTTCACACACCAAGAAAAGTTAAAATACTTAATCAAAGCTGGTAGGTTGGTAATGGAGCTGAAATTTAAACCTTAAAGTGTTGAATGTTTGGTGGCAAAATAATAGGTACTAAAAGCCATCAAAAGAACACTTCATCAAATAGGAACATGACCAGAATTAATAGACTGTATCATTTTGTTCACTACAGATTAAAAATCCTGGAGATGGACTGATTGCGCCTTTGCCAACATATTCATACTGTATGCAGATTAGTGCTCAGGAGTTTGATGAACAAAAAGTTTCTACCTCTCAAGATGCAATTGCAGAACTTTTGGAGAATATTATTAAAAGCAAGAGTTTGCCTTTAAAGGAGAAAAGGAAAAAACTAAAACAGGTAAGAGGATGAGCAAGTTCTCAATCATGTAAATAATTTTTAAAATGCTGTTGCTGATTATTACTTAATAATACTTAGCATTTAATTTCTCATTTTAATATTTTTTTAATATTGGATATGTAAGCTGCATATGACTACCTGCCTGGTTTTACTCTTTGCTCTTAAATTTTAATAATAATAATAACAGTTACACTCCTTTACTGCTAGTGTTCTGTATGATTATAGTTTGGATTAGGATGGTAAAACAATTACAAAATTTGGATTATATTACATAACTTTTAGTGACTCATCATTATCATTTAGAATTTTTAGCTCTACATCAAGAACCAGTAGCCACATGATTCTGATAAGTTCAATTTCAAGTCTCTGAAATATAATAGACACCTGTGACCTTCATAGGCTTTATCAGTGGGAAGGAAGAAGATCTGGAGATTAGAGGGAGATTTAGCAGAAGAGAATCCTAGAAAGTTAATACTGAAATCTTAAGAAATCTTACAGTGTACCTTTTATATATGAGAAAGCAGAGGGAGAACAAGGATAAGTTGAAAGGTATTCATCTCTGTAATACAGTCAAACCTTGTTTCTTGAATGTTTCCCATCTCCAACAGTTGGGTTCTGGACCAAGTTGTACACAGGAAAACTGTCTCAATTGTCAACCAAAACTTCAGTTTTTGCCTGACAGCCCTTTCATGCTGACAACTCAGCATGACAAAAAGTGTCTCTCAGGCAACAAAGGAGAGAATGCTTTTGTTGTGATGATGATTAGCACAATTTTAAAACATAAAGTGGCCATCAAGAGTGCTAATGTTGCTAAGGGTGTGAAAGTGTTCACAAAACAACAACCACAAGCAAATGAATAGGTAGAAAAACTGTTGTTGATTGGATAAAGGAAAAGCAGTTAGCAGGTGATAGCATTTTAGAGGCAGTGGTATATAACAAATTCCTTTAAGGCTAGTAGGTGTGGTTCCATAAGTATAAGAAAAGAAGTTTTTATTTCTAGATTAACAGTACTTTAGACTTAGACATGTACTGTATATAAGAAAGGTTAAAACGGAATCAATTGGGGGTCTGGGATGGATTAATTCAATTTACATTATTTCTAATGGAAAAAAATGATTCCATTTTCAAACAAATCACTTCTCAAATAGGCTTCTGGAACCTTGACTGAATTAAGTTTGAGAAATGAGGTTCCACTCTACATCTTTGAGAAAGGCACAGAATTAATTTAAAATATATACTGGCTTCAGCTAGAATAATAATGTTAAATAACTCTCTAAGTCCTTATGTCATTTTTAAGTTTCAGAAGGAATATCCACAGATATATCAGAAAAGATTTCCAACCACGGAAAGTGAAGCAGCACTTTTTGGTGATAAACCTACAATCAAGCAACCAATGCTAATTTTAAGGAAACCAAAGTTTCGTAGTATGAGATAGTAACTGAATTACAAATTATATAATACTTGTGAAACTTAAGTAAATAAAGCCATATCTAAGAATCCAGCTACTTTTTAAAAAGGAAGTCTGTTTATTATTTAGTTTTTTCCTAAACAAAGCACATTGTACAAGGAAGTGCCAAAATAGTTTTTATCAATGTGAAATTGCTAAAAAACTAGTGGATCCCAACTGAGAGAAAATAATAATAGATGATACCAGATATTTTAATAGAAATCAATCTTTGTTTTTTTATAGAACTATCTGGAAAAGCTATCATCGTGTGTACTAAAATTATATTTACTTGAATTTTAAAACTGACATGTTCAGTAAAATTAATCTCTAATTCTGTTTTCAAAAGAAAACTCAGCATGTGTACATATGAATATTAGCTTAAAGAATTAGTTGTGTAAGGTTACTTTTGTTTTTAAGTTAAGAATGTGAAGAATATTTGAAAACTCAATGAATTCTCAACTGCTAAATATTGCACTCATTGTTTTTACTTTTGATCTATTTATATATGTATGTGTTTTTAAAATGTGTATATATAGACTTTGGTTTGCCTTAAAAATGTATCCTAACTGCTTCAGTCATTCATTTTTTTCAGTAAATATGTAAGACAATCATGTATTCATTCATAAGATATTTATTTAGCAACTACTATGAGCCTTTCATTATTTTAGGTATGGAGAGACAATGATGAATAACATAAAACCTCTTCCCTTAAAGTATTTATTTTCTAATTAAGGGAGATACACCTAACAGATACTTAAAAATAACAATACACCCACCCCCCAAAAATCAAGTCATGGGGAGTCCTTCAGCTGAAGACTGACCTCTTTGATTACGAGACAGTTCTCTAAGCTAGTATTTTGTATTTTTCAAACTGTTACATATTAGAATCACCTGGAGAGCTTTTAATAATATATTCTTAGGCCCTACCTTATAACAAATCCAAATTTTGAGGGATGGTATATAGCAGCAATTTTCAACCTTTTTCATCTCATGGCACACATAAACTAATTATAATATTCTGTGGCACACCGAAAAATCTTATTATATTTTTACCAATCTGACAAAAAGAAGGGTATAATTCTGATTCAGTCACACTGGACAGCTATTGCTGTGTTGGCTGTTGTTTTTTCATTTGACAACCTAAGGGAAGAGAGGTCAGTGCCCCTGACTAAATAGTCATATATTGCATGTTTTAAAAGTTCTTATGGCATACCGGTTGAAAATAGGTGGTATATAGTATAGGTATCAGTATTTTTCAAGCTTTCTATGTGATTCCAGTATTCAGCCAACTTTGAGAATCAGTGCCCAAAACACTTTGTAAAATAAATGTCAGGCTGGGGCACACTGGCTTTTTATTAGAAGAAAATCTATAATAAAAGGGTAATATGCTACTTAGATCGGATGTCCTTCCGAAGGTCCTTCCTTCCAGACAAAGCCACCGTGGTGGTGGGCAGGGCCACAGCAGAGACCCCCAGCCACAGTGCGGTGGTGGGAGGGCGACAAGGCCCTTGTCGCCCTTGCACGAATTTCGTGCATTAGGCCTCTAGTACCAGTATAAATGCCTCTCATCTTAATACAAAATTCTCAAATTTAGTTTTTATTTGGCACAAACTCGAAGCAGTTTTCCTTCCCTATTTATTGCAAGATTGTTTAATATCCATTTCTTAAGTGTAAAGATATACATAATGCCTGGGATGTAGTAAACACTTATTCAATGACTGTTTTTGATTTCTCAATGTAATGTACTATAAAATGATAATGTTCTATTTGAAATTACTGTCTTTTTAGTAAAAATTTGGACAGAAAATAATAAATATATTTTGCCCAGAATAGTTATGAAAAGTATTGTATCAGATTATAATTCTTTCCAAGGTGTTTGTGTGCTAAAAGTTTTTCTGTTTAAAGGTGTGTAATAATGTGAATTATGTTGCATATTGAGATAAAAATTATGGGTTTTGTAACAATTTTTGTCTTTGTATTTATTGATTGATATTAAATAAATATTCTAAAGACACAGTAAACTTTCATCTGCATTAGTGTTGAGATTACAAAATAAATATGGTGTAACACTTTAATAATGTGAGCTCTGAAGTCAGTTTGGAATCCTATTGTGCAATTACTATGTAACCTCAGACAAGTTACTAAGTCCCAGTTTTTTCTTATCTGTAAGATATTGTACCTTTTAGGATTGTTGTGAGGATTAAATAGAATAATGCATGTGAAGTATTTAGCGTTTAGCAGAGTATCTAGTGTAGAATAAGCACCCTATAAATGTTAGCAGTTATTATTAAAGCCACCTAGAATCAAAGCACTAGATGAGGTCTTGCAAAAACATAATGCTCTCAATTGCTTTTGTTATGGGCCAACATTCACGAGAGTAAGACCACCGACTCCAATTAGGTCTTAAGCAGCAAGCGAGGATTTATTGAGCTGGCCAGCGACTGCCACAGGCGTCTCCACGCAGGGAGCTCTCCTCCTGCAGCAGCCCCGACCTTGGTGCTAGGCAAGCTTTTATTCACAGAAACCACAAACGTCCTTGATTACAGTTACAAGGGTCTAATCGGGGCCCTGACGCGCAGATGTCAGGAAGTAGGAAACTTGGTGTTATGCCTGGTTACCCATCCTTGACCCCATCCTTGACCTCTTGTCAGTTTACAGAGAACTCTAACTGGGGCACGGCTGGGGAACAGATTTGAAAATTTTCTACTGACATTCAATTCATCACACTTTGGGCAGAAATGAACCAAAATATAATTGTGAACAATTGGCTCACAATTGTCTTATTAAACTATTTTCAGTTTAATGAGTTCTGACTGTACACACTGGTTGAACATTTTTGATCTGATATAAAAGGAAAATTTGATGAAGGAAAGCATATATCTTCAGAATCAATACCCTTGAGTATATGAAAACATAAGATACAGTACACAAGTAGAGAACTTAGCCGTCAACTGGAGCATGGACAGATTTCGTTCTATCAGAAAAAAGGGCAGTCTTAAGTTCAAGTATAGATGGGCTGATTGGTTGATTTGATGCTTATAGAAATTCTCTCCTAATTCCTTTTACTTTCTCAGGAAATAGGCAATATCAGCTGCCTAGAGTAAAGTGGGGTGGGGAGGATACTGCACGTTTGAAGAGAGAGGGTGTGAAATAGTCTAGCAAAGTTGTGGAACTGCACAGATTACACCAGGTCAGATGATACTTTATTTTAACAATTGTATTTCTGGCCTCAACAGCTTCTGCTAATTGTCATATAATGAGCCATTCCCCCTACATATTGTCTAGGCAGTTATGTAGCATTCAGTACTTTAGAGTACAATGACATTTCCTACTGACTATCTATCTGTCCTTGGAAAGCTTAAACTCTGAGTTTCCTCATCTATAAAATATGAGTAATAACACCTATTAACTAAGTTGTTATAATAATCTAAAGGCAAAGCATTTAAATCTTGAATTTAGAAAGCCTGTGCTAAATTTCTAAGTCCTATTTTTCTTTCCTTATATTGAACTTAACAAGATCTCTGCTGATTAAAAAAACCCTTTTCCTACCAAATCTCTGTCCTCATATCTCACAATGTATTTTCTGTTCTATCAGTAGTAATTTTTTTTAACCTCATGTTTGGTGGAATTATATCCTGGTAATCTATGTATCTTTCTACCAAATATATCAACCTTTGATTTCAAAGGTAAAGCGTGTGTGTGCGTGTGCGTGCGCGCGCGCTTGTGTATGTATGTAGTCTTATTGTTGAAATGAAGCATTTTTAGGAGAGAAATGAAGAATTGTTAGTTTAATATTAAACTTAAAATCGAATGAAACAAAATGTCATTTCTCTAGAATAAACATTTCTAAATGTGATAAGGCACACCAACTAAGAATCTTTTCTATTAATTAAAAATTTTGTTTTCTACCCTATCGGCATGTCTCAGTGGTTGAGTATAGACTATGAACCAGGAGGTCACGGTTTGATTCCCAGTCAGGGCACATGCCAGGGTTGTGGGCTCAATCCCCATTGTGGCAGCCAATAAATGATTCTCTCATCATTGATGTTTCTATTTCTCCCTTTCCCTTCCTCTCTGAAATCAATAACATACATATATATAAAAGGCTAATATGCTAAGTGTCCATCGGGAATGACATCACATACCAATGCCCAGCTTGCTCTCCCTAGCAACGACTAGCCTCCTTGCAGTTTCTTCAGCCCAGGAACTGGACTTGCTTTATACCCAGGTGAAAACATTTTACACTTTAACCAAATGTCTGTGAAGCATTTTCCCATGCCTCATCTCATTTGATCCTCACAGAAGTTCTAGAGTAGGTAAATAGGATACTCAATGGAATCCTATTTTCTTTTCATTAGCCGGAAAACGGAGATTTAGAAAGTTTAGAAACTTGACCCAACTGAAAAGAAGTAAGAAATGGTGGACCTTGAAAATGACTTCAGGTTTTCTCACTGCGCAGAATATATTTAAACACTGCTGCAGTTAAATATTTTACTCTTTGTTCTCCCTGTGTGATCTACAATCATAATGTGCTTCATGTTGACATTAACTGCTGTGCTGCTGACAATTACCTGAAAGAGAAGTTGGGGTGCTTCACTGGGCTGGAAAAAGTTTAGCTAAATCAGAAAGCAGGTCTAATTAAGAAAGTTTGTTCTATATCTATAAAAGGCTAGTTGACTTGTGCATGCATGATACATATAAAGCTCTCGCTGGGTCCAATCGCATGCATGTGTTTCGATCTGTCATTGTTGATAGTGAATTTGGTTGACATTTATATTATAGAGAAAGGGCGAATAGCGATATTAAAATATTTTTTCTAATTAATTTCCTTTCAATGTACACGAATTCGTGCACTGGGCCTCTAGTATATACATATTTTTTAAAATTTTTTCATTTTCTAAGACTTGAAAAAAATGTACAAAATAGCTGTTTTTTTTTCTTTCCCTGAAAACCTCACAATGTGTATTGAAGAAACACTGAATGTATAACAGAAGTTTAAGTAGTGTTGACTCTTGCTCATTATAAAAACAATTTTTGTATCAAAACCTAGCCTCAAATATATCAGCTGATTTCTGAATTTCCTTTTCTTCCATAAGCAACTGGAAAACCAGTGTACATGAAACAACTGCTTTTAGACATTAGACTACAATCAAAGTAGTGAGCCTTGTGACTGCCCCGAGATTACTGCCCGGAGGCAATTGCCAGGCCACAGTGCAGGGAAGAAAAACAAAAATAAAGCCCAGGGTCTGACTTCATTAAAGAGCTAGATAGAGATCAGAGTTCCGAATCACTGAGGGAACTGCAAATCAACAACAAAAAAAGCCCCAGAGGTCTGCAGGGTAATCTAGAGATTTCTGTTGAGTACTAATTGGGATAGGGCAGGGTGAAGGAAGTCCATTGAGTACTAATCAGCAAGGCCAAGGAAAGAATGACTGGAAAGCAGAAAACAAAACAATTGCTGGACCTCAAAGAGCTGGAAATAGCTCATGTTTCCACCAGCCAGAACTGAGAGAGCTAATAGCTGAGGCATTGAGTAGCATCTTCAGAAGAGTTGAGTTGTACTCTTGTAGTGGGGCCAAATTAGCCCCACTACAAGAGTACAAACTGCTATGGATTCAGCCTAGTAAATATTAAAAAACAAGCCTCAAAATGTTCATATTATAACTTCCTGTGTGCCAGAACAAAGTCTAATACTTGAAAGAAATACAAGAGCCAGCATTCAACAATGTAAGAAACAGTGTTCAATATCCAACCAAAAATCACCAGACATGCAAATAAATAAATAAAATATATAACCCATAACCAGGATTTTTAATATCTATAATAATAAAAGTGTAATATGCTAATTAGACCAGATGACCTTCCAGACGAAGCCGGGGCTGCGAGGGAAGCCCAGGTCCCGGATGCCAGAGGGAAGCCAGTGCCAGCAGCCAGGGGAAGGAAAGCCTACTCTTGCATGAATTTCATGCATCAGGCCTCTAGTTTATTATAAATATATTCCAGGATATAAAGAAAATCATGACTATAGTGATAGAAATGGAAGATATAAAAAAAGATGTAAATAGAAATTCTAGAGATTAAAAATATGTGAAATGAAATTTGGAGAACATTAGCCAACAGCAGAAGAAAATATCTGTGAACTTGAAAACAGCAATAGAACTACCCAAAATAAAGTATAAAGGAAACAAAAGGGGGAAGAAAACACACACACACAAAAAAACTAGACCTTCAGTTAACTATGTAAAAATATGAAACTGAGTAATGTGTTCAATAGGAGCCTAGAGGTGAGAGAAGAAAAAGGGAAGACAAAAATTATTGGCCAGAAATAATGGCTGAATTTTTTCTAAATGTGATAAAGACCATAAACCCCATAGAAGCTCAAGTAACCTTCCAGCAAAAGAGCCATAAAACCTCACCAAGGCAAATATAATCAAGTTGCTAAAAACAAGTGAAAAAGAAAAAAAAGAACCTTAAATGCATCCGGAGAAAAAACATTTTATACAGAGGAACAAAAGTAAGAATTATTTTTGGACTAGTCTTAGTTCTGTCTTAGGTCATGTTCCCGATAGTATTGAGACAAATACTGTATATGTGTGTTTGAGGTTAGTGGGAAGTACACCTGGGAACAATACTTACAAGAAAGAGATGAAGTTGGGATGGGGCAAAACAAAAGGTTGACTAGCAATGCAATGGCAGCAAAGGCCACAGCTGATCCCATAGGGGACTAGAGCTAGATAGCCCCTCAGGATTGTCTCAAATTGAGAGAAGGGCTGGGTCTCAATACTTCACATAAACCATCATTGATCATGGGTTAATTCTAGGGAGGAGGTGTAACCTTGGATGAGGCAACTCCCTTCGGCCAAGCACATTTCCTAAAGAGGAATGCAGCCATTATTAGTGATAGCCGGGACAATGTATTACTCAGCACTGAGTCGGGATCTATGCAGAACACCACCAGAAGAGA